GCCCGGGGGCGCCCCCCCGGCCCCGGGCCAGCCCCTGGCCGAGCGGGCAGCCCCGGGCTGAGCCCTCCGAGCAGGAGCACCGTCCGCCCGGGTCCACCTTAACCCGGGGCCAGCTGTGCCGCGGCTGCTCCGTGCCCGGGAGAAGCTCCTGCGGGATTGCAGGGGCGTTTATCTTGCCCGGGATCAGCCAATATTTGTGGCCACGTCAGGAGAACGAGCCCTTCCTCGCTCTCTGCTCCTGTGGCGTCCAGTGTTGCCATCCTGCCACTGCGCTCTGCTCTCCCGGCCCCAGCGCTGCTGTCCCGGTTTGACTTTGGCTTACCGGACAGTTGGAGGAACACTATTTGCTGAGACCCCAAGCTGTCACCTCCTGGCACCAGAGATGACAGCCACCGTGGCTTTCCTGCTTCTGAGCCTTCTGAGGATGACGGCTCCCAAGGGAGTGTGGTGCCCAGCCTGGGGGCTGGAGGCCCTGGCCCCCACCACGCAGCGGGACATCCTCATCGCGCTGGCAAAGCAGAGCATCCTCTCCAAGCTCCGCTTGCCAGACAGGCCCAACATCACTCAGGCCACATCCAGGGCGGCCCTGCTGACGGCTCTCCGCAGGATGCGTGCACAGCACATGGACACGGCCGGCTCCCCAGGGATGCCCCATGACGGCAGCATCCCACACCTGCGTCCTGGGATGGGTGTGCAGGAATACGAGATCTTGAGCTTTGCCGAGTCAGGTCTGTACAGACCCCACATCCCGTGGGCATGGTGGGATGGGCTCTGAGGTGGGGGGCGTGGAGGGAAGGAAGGTCTTGCCTGGGGGAAGGTGGCAAGAGGTTTCCTCCTCTGCAGAGGCATTTCAAAAGCTCTGCACAGGGGCATCACGCTCCTGCAAACAATGTCAGGCTATGCAACGGGCCAGTGGGCACACTGGTGCTGGAAGGACTGGTAACAAGAGGCTCCATATCCAGAACCTTTGCATCCATGTCCCAAGCTTACCCCAACCAGCTGCCCCTCGCCACGGGCAGGGCAAGCACTACTGAGGCTCTGGGGCCCCTCTCATTTACATATAGGACATGCTGAGGCAAGAGGGCATAGGAGCAAAGATGGACTGCTGTATCATGTGAATTTGTTGTCTATTTCTGTTGAACCCTCCCCACTTATGCTAGAGGCGGAGGGGTGAGATGGCCATGTTTTTCAAAACATGATTTTAAGACTAGATTCCCCAGCAGCTTACAGTGTGTGGACTTAGGTTGCCAAAGCCCATCTGCTCCCTGCACTCAACTGTCTCTCCACTTCCTACCCAAAGTGGTGGGCTGCCACATTTCACTCCAGAATCAGCTGCGTTCCTGGGAGGCAAGAGCTCCCCAAAACATGCTCAGGGGTCCTAACAAGTATCACTGGAAAAACAGGGTCCTCTACCCCCCACTTCTCCCAGGCAAATGCAGCCTTCTTTGGAAAGAAGCAGAATCGCTGCTCCATCCTGCGGAGCATCCTTCTGCACCACCAATTTGCCCAGCCCAAACTCCTGCTTGGTCAGGTGTGGGGGGCACACGCTCCACTTGCAGGCTTTTGTGTGGTTTGCATGGCTGCTGTGGGATAGTGAGGGCTTGCCATGTCCTTGAAGACCTCTGGGAACAATGCTCCTCTGCAGTACATTGTGTTCCCATACATGATGACAATGGGGAGTTGTCTGCTGGCTTGGTGAAGTATCTGCTAGAAACGGAAGAGCCAGTGTGAGCCACGGGGCTGAGCCCAGTCTCTCGCCCCGCTGCACTGTGCCAGACCACAGAGGAGGGAGGTTCTGTCTTCATGGGCAGAACTGTGCCAAGGAGCCCAGCGTTGCTCTCATGGTCCCCGTCAGTCCTTCCTTTGCGAGGAGGAGAGGCAGCTCTGCAGCCTCAGCAGCAGCAGCGAGGGTGGGACACACTGGAGCAATGTCAGGTGATGGTTCCAGCCACGGAAAGCAGAGGTCATCGTGGAGATGCAAGTCAGCATGACTGCCTTAAATCCAAGGCTGGTTTACACAGCCAGATAACCTACTCCACAATCCTCCAGCACCTTCATGGACAAGGGGGATATCAGGCCAGAGGAGGTGGAACCAAGCCAGGCTGCTGCATTCAGCACCAGGCCCAGATGTTGCTGCTTTAGAGCAGCATAAGAGGGAGGAGCAGCAGCAGTGCAGGGAAGTGGGGGCTCCTCAACGTCTGTACGTACTGTGCCCTGCACCCTGATTTGGATATACCTCCCAGTTGCTCTGAATTGGTAGCCCCTGGCTCCCTTCGCCTCCTGACTCTGCTTTTGGTTCTGTGCACAGGGTTCTCCACCTCCCACAGCGTTCGCCTGCATTTCCACTTCACCCGGGAGCTGGCTGGGAACACTGAGATCCTGCAAGCCACCCTCTACCTGTTCTGGGTAGTCCCCGGCCCCAGGACACATCCTGTCACTGTCAGACTCTTGCAACCAGACCCGACGGGGCTGAACATGACTGTGGCCAGTGAGACACAGCTAGAGGTGCAGAGGACTGGCTGGGCCACGCTGGACGTGGGCCGAGCTGTCCAGAGCCTCTTCGGCCAAGGGAGCCAGATGCTCACTGTGGAGCTGGAGGTGGCAGAGGACTGGGGGTCTCCCCTCCTGGCTGGCCACGGTGATTCCCACTGGCCATTTGTGGCAGCCCAGGCCCGAGCCAGGATGCCCCACCGGGTCCAGCGGCGTGGCGTTGATTGCAGTGGGGACTCTCGGATGTGCTGCCGCAAGGAATTCTTTGTGGACTTCAAGGAGATCGGCTGGGAGGACTGGATCATCCAGCCAGAGGGATATCACATGAACTACTGCACAGGGCTCTGCCCCCTGCACATGGCTGGCATCCCTGGCCTCGCTGCCTCCTTCCACACAGCTGTCCTCAACCTCATCAAAGCCAACAATGCGGATGCAGCCGTGGACTCCTGCTGCGTGCCCACGCAGCGTCGCCCTCTCTCTCTGCTCTACTATGACCAGGACAGCAACATCGTCAAGACTGACATCCCCGACATGATTGTCGATGCCTGCGGTTGTACCTGACCAGCTGCCTGAGGAGGCAGGAGGGTAGGACCTGTGCTGCACAGGGCTCCCCTCCTCCCAGCCCCTCTCTGGCAGTGCGAGATCCAGCGAGCTGCTGAGAGATGGGAACCCTGCCAAGGTGTTTTCTCATCCTGAGGTTGAAGTATCAAGGGTGATGCTGAATCTGCAAGTCCTCTCCTCCCTCACCTCTCACATGGCTGTTTTCCCCCTTGAGATCTGCCCATGGATTCCTCTCTGCCCATGAGCCCCGGCCTCTGAGACTGGCTCCTGATGGACACCAGACCCTTCTACCTGCAGGACTCTGTAGAGTGCGACTCCCTGGGTGGCTCAAGGCAGCCCTGGCTCACCCTGCTGCTGGTCCCAGACCAAGGCCATGGTGCAGCCCTCAGTGCCGCAACATGAACATGTGCTCTTCAGCTAACAGGTCCCAGCAACGGCCACCACAGGCTGCTGGGGGAGATAGAAGCTGAAAAGATTCTGGGGGATGGCTAGGCCAGAGGGGAGAGGGCTGTCCATGGGGCCCCACTCCTCAGCTGGACATGAGGTTGAGGGGGGTGAGGAAGGGGAAATTGATCCCAGTGGGAGGAAAATGTCTCCCTCTCCAAGCATCCCAGCTACCTGGTGTTCAATAAAAGACTCCCAGCCGTAGTGTGTGCACATGTATGTGTACACATATGTGTGCCCTGTCATTAGCCAGCACATCTTCCACCTCTCCCCAAGGTGCAAGGTGGTAGATATGCCCTAGCACAGACAGCCCCAAGATGGCACAGAACTGACCCACTCTGCCACGCACGGTCCTCTTCTAACCGACAAGCTGGTTATAAAACCCAGGCAGTGGGGCTGGGCATGCACCAGCAGGACACACTGTGCACAAAGACTGCAATGCTGCTGGCCCCCAGAGCTCTCATGCTCTGTGCCCCTTGGCTGCCTTTCCCAGGGGGATGCAGAATGCCTGACTTGTCTCAACCAGATCCAGGGCATGATATGGGACCCCCCAGACACAGGGGGCTTGTGATTCCCACTAGGGAAGGCACCGTTCCTTGGTTGGGCCAAATCTTCCATTCCACCAAAACCAGCTGTATTTGGCCATTCTTGTCACAAGTCAGGACAAAACTGAGCAACTTTTCTCCCTTTTTAAGTGGACAGAGAATGCTAGGCAAGACCGCCAAAGCCATGGTGCCCGGACACCCACCCTTCCCTAGAATGCCACGCCAGCTCCCTCACTGGGGAGCAACCTCTTGGCACATCTCTGGCCCGCAGCCTGGAGCAGCTGCCCCCTTCGCTGCCCCTCGCCAGCCTGGCTGGCAGCAAAGTGGGACATGTCAGTGCCGTGAGAGCTGGGGCCAAAGGGCGGCTCTGACACATCAGCCCCATTACGTAATCTCGTGTCAGGGTTTCTCCACTGCTTCCCACATGTCCTCCATGTGTGAGGGCTGAGAAAGCAGGGAGAGGGTGCCGGCGGTGGGAGAGGGAGGTGCACAAGGGGAGCTCCTGAGGTGATCCCCGGAGGTGCATGCAGCTGGCTGGGGTGGAGCTGGGTGACTACAGTCCTGTGGTCCACCCTGCAAGCACTGACGACCCCACCCCAGAGGCTGGAGACAGAGCTGAACCAGGTGGGATGAAGATCAGCAGAGGGAGGAGGGTGGTGTCAGACCCTCTCCCCATCTGGCTTGAAGGACGGCTTTGCATCTGCTGTCCCACTCCAGGATCAGGCCAGGGTGGTCAGAGCCACGAGCAGCTCTGGCTGGAGTGGGGGCCAGGATGTATGTTGCCCCGGAGGACCTGTGGCACCTTGAGCAGGGATGGAACAACCACTAGCAGGAGACAGTGTTTGCCCATGTTGCATGCATCCTGAAGGAGGCGCTCCCACTGGGCCCTGCTGGACTGGGGACCTGCATCTCCCCATCAGGTCGCAGAAGCCACTGTGCTGAGATCCAGGCTTCCAGGCTCTGGTGCCTCCAGGACTCAGACCTGAAGGGGTCCTGCTGACCCAG